CCATCGAGTCAGCTCCAACTCATAGAGACCCCTCCTTGGGTTTCTGAGGCAGAATCACTACAGAAGTAGATTGTGCCGTCTTCCTTCTGAGGAGTGGCTGATAGGCTTGAACCTCCAGCCTTCTGGTTAGCAGTCAAATGCCTTGGGCACTAAGCTACCAGAGCTCCTTTTGGAATACAGTATGTAAATAATAGGAGAAACTGTGCAGGGAGGAGGAGGCATATACAAGGACTCTGTACTTTCTGTGCAATTTTACTATGAATCTAAAACTTATCTAAATTATAGTTTACTAAAATTTATTCATCTTAAACCTTTTTTTTTTTTTTTTTTAATCTGGCTAGAATCTGGCCAGTCATGCCTTCCTCATGTACTGCACCTCCATATTTGAGTTTCAGAGATTATCTCAGCAGTGTGATATCCATCAGTAAGTGGACTTAGATTACCAAATACTGCAATAGCAAATGACAGGGACAGTAACTTCTCTTGATTACTTTCATTGTAAAAGTTTCCTACAGATGTATGTATAAGTCACATGATTTCAGACATAGTAAGAGAAGATAAAGGTCAAAGTTTGCAATGAATTCTGAACTAATTGGATGGACTTAGAGAGACTTAGCCTGAGTTGCTTTAGAAGGTTGCTATGAACAACTTTCCAGAGAGGTGGGAATATACATAGTCAATCATGGGAATATTTTCTTCAGATTTCTGTTCCACTAGTGTCACTACAGGTTTCTTCCCCAAAAATGTCAAACAGCTCAAAAATCTCACTTTCATTATATATTATTGTGTGTTGATGCTTTTGTCTATAATATTTCCTGAGAGATATACTTCCTAAGTAGTTGGCATAAAATTAATTATAGTTTGGATTTTTTAGTACTTAAAATTTTATTGATGAGAGGTAATATAAATTTTCATGTGTCATGACAGGAAATTGAGAAATTATTTTGGTCATTATAGTATATAGTTGAATTTATACAATTCACTTTGGCATTGAATTAGCAGGGTGACTAAATATCTATTTTTTCAGTTTTGCTGTAAGTCTTTTTATAGGGTAAATCCAATATTATAATGTAGTTGTTTTCCATTAAATTTGGCATTTTCCCCCAAGACTATGGTGCTAGCAACACTTTGGGCCTGGAATTGAATTCACTGCTGTGGTTTCCAGCTAAAAAATAGGCATATGAGGTGAACACTTACACCAGGTAGGTACACTCCTTAGAACAATCAGCCATGGGAGACCAGAAGGGCAGTATTTATACAGCAAGATTGCACAGAGGGCAGGAATGAATATGAAAGAAAGACACTGGTAAAAGATAACCAGCGGGAGGAAGAGGAAAGAGACCTGTTACACGCATTATGGGAAGTGCAGTCAATGTCATGAAACAAAATATGTATGAACTGTTGTATGGAAAATGAATTTACTCTGTAAAACTTTCTCCTAATCACAATAATAATATAAAAAATAATCGGCATTTTTTTTTTTTTTT